TCGACCAATGCAAGTCATACCTATATGTCGCCTCGCGTTGCAGGCGACACAGTAAGAATCATTTAAGTACACTTTGATGAATCTGCTTTTACAGAACGATATTTCGAGATAACAAGACAAAATAGCCAAAATACCAATGCAGTATTGTAATTCAGTTTTTAGGCCACCTGAGCTTTAGCCCAAGTGACCTATTGCTATCCGTCGTCGTCCGTCTTCGTGCGGCGTCCGTTAACATTTTACATTTTCAACTTAAGCTGAAATACTGTCAAAGGGATTTCATTGATACTTCATGGGAATGTTACTGACTACTCCCTGACTAAGTGTTATTATTTTTCGGATCGATAAGGAATCCAATATGGCCGCAATGGCCGCCATTTTGAAAACTATTTCAAACTTAAAGTCAAGTTCTACTAGGCCGTTTTAACTGAAACTTGTAGGAATGATCGACTCATAGTCCTGACAAAGTGTTGTTATTTTTGGGTCGATCAGAAATCCAATATGGCCGCCATTTTGAAAAAACTATTTCAAACTTAAAGTCAATATGGCCGCCATGGCTGCCATTTTGGAAAAAAACTATTTAAAACTTAAGATCAAGTGTTAATAGGCCGATTTAACTGAAACTCGGTCTAGGAATGATCAACTCATTGTCCTGACAAACTTAACTTAAAGTTATACTTAACTATTTTTTACTCAAATTTTGGTAGGGATGATTGACATCATTATCTCCACTTCATATTTCAACAACAAAAATTAATATTGTAGGACTCAGGTGACCGTTAAGGCCCATGGGCCTCTTGTTTAATATAAAAGGGGTGGGTTGGATGGAAGACGCAACTATCAGTACTCACAACCTTCATCATCACATGCCAAATGGACGGGATTTGATTTTCCGAACGGACGTTATTAGGTATTGGGTCAGTTGCCGATCATGCACGTCAATTTTCTCTTTGTATTCGGACATCTGCCAAGACAACACTGAGACCTCCTTCTGTGCTTTCAACACGTGTTTTATATACATTCAAAAACTTACTTCTTAATAAGAAATAAACTTGAAATGAAATTCAGAACCCCTGGCATCATCGTTGTGACCTGGTAGCACGAACAGCTGTAGTGTGCAGTGTAATTAACATTTGGCATGTCTATTACTAAGATTTCTTAGGGTCATCTTTCGAGATACGTGTACAAGGTGGTAGACTCTGGTGGCGGGTTGGTTAGTCCTCAAAGTTTGGCTTAACCTTAATAGCCTTAGTTATATCATTGGAGTAGTGGCGCGGTTCTTAATATTCTCGCGGAACTCATTGTTTATTCGAAATTAACCATTACCCCTCTTATTTTTGAAATGCGTATACTAAGGATATGCTCTGTGCTCTTTGTCAACATAAAGTGACATAGCAATCATTGTCACGTTTCTAATGCCTCCTCTAACAAAGCTTTTTCTTCATTTCTGAGATAGAGCCAATTCAAAGTCATTCAAATTATCAATAGCATTATGACACATGGCCGGCTTTTATATATACCCTTTATAAACATTAAAACAACAATAATGAACGCTGTAATGACACTATTTGCCGTCTTTATACTATAAAGCGTAGTAGCAGTAACTATTGACTACGTTTCAATGGGTGTTCTTTCTAAAACCAAAGGTGCGTAAAGGAATCAATTATACATTACACCTCAACAATGAGCTGACAGTAATATATAATGATTATTGCATTATGCATGTAGCTTTTTGTTTAATCAGTTGCAATGATAAAATCGCTGGAAATTAAAATAAATACAAATGTCCTTGTACCTAATTACACCACAGCCTTCAATGGGATCAAATGAAAAGAACATTGATGAAAGTCACCAACCGTAGATGTTTCTTGGTTCTGACGCACAGACTGATCTTTATTGCAATCTTTCTACTTCTCTCTACTTCTAACTACCTGTCTTGTGGCCTCTCGAGAGTTCCACCTCCTTGTTAATAATGTATGATATTAGGGACTTCCTATACCGTTGTGAGTACTAATTTGAAAATAATTGCAGTGTTTCCTATAACAGACTTTCTGTTTCAGAGTGTTTATTTTTTGTTTAAAAGGGTGAACTTAACAATGAAGACCTCTCTATTCAAATTAAAAATCGTTAAAATACACGTTAATGATTATGCTTCCTCGAACGGACGTTATTAGGTAAAGGGTCATCTGCCGACCATGCACGTCATCCTTCTCTGAGTGCTCAGACTTCCAACACTAAGACCTTGCGTGTTTTCAACAAGTGGTTAATATAAATTTAAAAACTTACTTCAGAATTATAGGTCAACATTTGGCCCCCACTTGTATTTTTTTATTCTTTTGCCATGTGTACCGTAGATGTTTCTTAATTTTGACGCACAGACTGTTTGTCATTTGTATTGTCTTTACTTTAACATGGTATACGTATGCTTCGTGCTCTTTCTCAGTATTAAGTGGTAAACAAACCTTGTCACGTTTTATAGAATCTCCATTCGAACGCATCCTCTAACAAAGTTTTACAGTTACCAATAGAACTATAACACTTGTCCGGTTTTTCTAAATACCCTTTATCGAGTATGACACTTCATTGTAATTCTCTTGGTTTGATTATTGTTGGGAAGTCTTTGTTTGATATATATGATGATTCTTTGTCCATGTCTATTTTATGCCGTTTTATATCCTTTTGCTTAACTCTCGATACAAATGCTAGTCACACTATGGAGTTGGTCATGTCTCCAGCACTCGTATACGAGTTTTAAACATTTTAGCTATCAATGCTTAGCCTCATTGAGTGACTGCATGGTTCACAACGCATCCCTGCCCCAATCTTTCTAATGTTTTCATTCGGTTCGCTCGTTGTCATTATTATGTGACCGGGTGGGGGTGTCCTGCTGGATGTCTTCAGCAGTATGTTTCAGTGAGGTAGCACTATAAAGACGGCATCAGTTCAGCGCTATCACAAGGAGACAAACACGAACATATCGCAGCCTCCCAAAACACACAGGCATACACTATACGCATGCATCTTGCACTCAGGGGAGGCCGTCCTTAAGTGACCATAGCTGTTGATAAGACGTTAAACAATACTAAACCAAACCAAACCAAACCACGTCAAGTCAACGTTAAATGGTAGTTTCTACTTCTGCTTAACGCTCAGCAATTTATATTAGCGGTGGGACGACTGCTGGTTCGCTTGTTTTCAGTATAATGTGACCGGGTGGGGTGTCCTGCTGGGTGTCCTCGGCAGTATGTTTCAGTAAGGAAAATCAATGCATGAGCATGAGAACGGTTTCATGAATACGGGCCCTGTTTCCTTCCACATTAAGACCCTTCTACTTGGACTTGTACAGTAAGTAAAATTTATATTTTATGGAGCGTTATTGAAGATGTAGATATAATATATAATATTCGAGAAGTCCGTTTTCCTACCACATTAAATCCCCCAAGCGCTGACATCCAGGCAACAAGAGTGTTATATATATAAAGGTGGTAATATTGAAAATTTCAAAATTGTTTGACGATTTTTACTTTATTCTATATCTGAGTATCACTGACAGATGAATGGTAATGCATACATAGTAAAAGTGAACCACGCACCTTTTTGAGAGCTCTATATTGTTTTTGTGACATTTGTATTATTTTATTTTGTTTGATATGACCGTTTAACGGTTTAGCATACGGTAGGATTTTCTTCAAAAACATGCTGGCAGCGATGGGATTCGAACCCACGCCTCCGGAGAGACTGGCGGCTTAAACCAGTGCCTTAGACCGGTATTTCAGTGAGATAGCACTATATAAAGTCGGCATCAGATCCGCACTATCTTCGTCTGCTGGATAACCGAACTACTCGTTAGTGAAGCGGACGTAAAACCTATCAATCAATCAATCCGCACTATCACAACTAACACAACACACATGGAGGCACAATCTAAAGGATGTACTCTTCTGTGGTTTCAATCACGTTCAAGTCTCGTTTTGATCTCTTGTAAGCGTTTTTTTGTAATATTTTACAAAGTATGATCAATTTTAATAGCAAAAATAACATGCATCTGAAAAATCTATCTAAAATCTAGAAGCCTGTTCTTTGTAGAACTTTTGTCACAAGAATTTAAAAAATGACCAATTTGGCGGCCGTTTTGAAAATGTGTTTTTCTGTGTATTTCTTAACACGAAAAGCCCAATTTTCACCTTTTTTTACTCTAGATTGATCACTTAAATCATTAGTGTGTTGCCATTTCAAATTGTAGCAAGTTAATTTTGCTGTACAACTTTATAATGTTCAATATAATGAAAATAATATGCAACAAAATTATACCTTTTTTGTATGTTTTTTTTTACATCTTTAGTGTAACCACGGAATTAGATTTAGATCTAAGTCCGTGGTGTAGCACTTTTGATTTTTGACCCCGAAATTTTGTCATTAAAAAATAAGGGGTAGGGGCAGTTTAAATTGCTTTTTTGAGTTAAAAGAATAAGGTAAAGAAATACTACTTTCATAATTTGAAAAAAAATGCAAACATTCATACATAGATCTGATAACACGTACACTTGGAAGATATTGTATGAATTTGTCCTGCAAGTAGTCAAAACAGCAAAATACACTTAAAATCACATATTATGTCAAATTGGTATCTCTGACCGATCATAGCACAAAAACGAGCAATGGACACATAATTAATTTTGTAATTTCTGCTATGCCATTAACTCTCTTTTCCAAAAAATGTATATATGAGAAAAAAGGTTGAATATACCGACATGACGTTTATGACTTCTCAGAGGTGTAGGAAGGACCGTCCGACGTTAAACAAGATTAAACCAAACTTAGACCGCTCGGCCATGCTACCTATAAGCTTATGATGCAAATCATAGGCCTTATGACCCATAATATTAATCGTGATTTTGTCTGCGTAGCAATAATATATGTCGGACATAAAAAAATTGGTGGTGTGCTACCTCGTTAAATTACTACCGACCGGAAGTTGACTTATTTTGTAGCGTGAACTTACGCAGGCGGAACAATTATTAGGCTGTATAGTGAGAGGAGTGAAAATGATAACGCCCGATTTCAGGTTATACACAGCATCCAATATGGCGGATACCGGGCCTGAGCTAGAATTATTGTTTTTTGATACATTTTCACACGAAGGACAGGGTGCTGAGGTAAGAAACTGCAAGAAAAGAGATGTCGTACAAGGTTGCTGTATCTGCAAATATATTCGAAGGACCGAATACTTTTCAATAAAAAGCAATAAAGAAGTGTACTTGGCTGGCATTTGTCACATGTTCGACCACAGGAGCATGAAGTTCTGTCAATAATGAATAATAACAGTAGTACACAAAAATACCTATAATATGCTATTTTTTAAGCATATTATAGTTGCTTTTTTTGTACTACTGTTAGTATTCATTATTGACAGAACTTCAGGCTCCTGTGGTTCGACTGACTCTACTGTAACTACATTTGCCATCTGTATTTGTACTGGAAATTAGCTCACTACTGAGCAAAGTCTATCGAGGGTGAGTGAGTGCGCTATATCAATCTTAGTCACTTTTGGTCGCAGTAGTGGCCTTCAACTGTTCTGAATTTTACAGTTGATTATATGCGATGGTAGGCCTAGTGCATTCCATTCTTTTATGGTAGCTGGTACAAATGAGTTTTTATATATGTCGGTGTTAAAACTAAGCACTTTGATGGATTTACTGTGCTGTGTTCTAGATGGTCTGGTATTAAACTGAAATAGCGAGTCAGCAGGTATGGGCACGAGGCCGTGAACTATTTTGTAAAGTAAAAACTAAACACTGGTCTTGTCTGTGTTTGGATATCGTTTGCTATTTAAGTTTAAGTTCCTCACTCATTTAGGACATGCTACTGTATCTGCTGTAATTTCTTTTAGGCATTAAGTACCTCTGGCAAATTACCGAAATATGTTGATTATTAATGTCTTCAAAACACGCTCTGTGGATCGGCATGTTATGCTCTGATTATAATCAGAACTTTAAATGATGTAAAAATCGGAAATTTTACATTTATGAAAAATGAAAATAAACATCTAACTGTATGCTATTAAAGTCAACATTACCATACACCTTATTGTTTTATGCAATCTTGTAGAATTGTTATCAATGAGTCCTGGATATTTTTTTCTAAATTTCAAAAGTCCCTTACTAACAGGTATAGTGGGTCCTAAAGCAGTAGGTGAGTCTGCATGGCAAGTTGCTTGTGTCCTTCCGCTGTATTATTAAATCTTCATCTATGCTGGTCCTTTTACGAAAGTTCAGGAAATGTTTTTTAATATAACAAATTTTCATCATAGCACTATCTGAAGCTCACAGGTATTTATTATATTTGTAACAGAAAAAAGAGAGTAGTGTACTTCCACTGGGAATCGAACCTGTGATCCCAGACTTCCTTAAGTTCCTAGTCGGTGGTGCCCCGTCTACCACTGAGTTAAAGGAAAATTTCCTCTAGCGCCAACCTAGAAGGCAACCGTGATCCTATGTTAATTTTTTTTTTTTTACAGCAACTCAATCTTGACCTGGTGCAGTTTCCCCGGCCAGTCATCATCCATGAAGTACGAGTGATCCCCCTTCAGACCAGGGTCCAGGCTGATGTTCCCGGAGGTGTCAGACTTGGGTAGGTCACATGTTAGGGTGAATTTTGTTGCATATAGTTATAGGGTTTTCTCAGACTCTTAAGGTGACTTGGAGTCATTCAGCTGAGCATCATCACCTGGAAATCCTACCTATCTTACCGGCTTAACTCTTCATTCACAGTCAGTTTCACCCCTTAAATTTCATAATGAACTTTTCCAACCTTTGAATTGGAAGAGTTAAAATGTGTCTTTGGGGGTGAATGAGTTAATTGACCCTTATCACCTTAGACAACGAGCTGTGTCACCTTGTTATTAGTACTGAATGTGATCTTCAAAACAAGCACTTGACACTTATTGAATCACTAGCTATCTGTATCAAAGACAGTGACCACAATTAATGGTCAGCAGTTTATTTTTGAATTGATATGAACTGTAGTGTTTGTCACAGGGATCTGTTAGCAGTGTTGGGGCGGGTAAGGGAGAACCGGAGGACACCGCCAACAGGCCTAGGTCGAGTGCTATTTTTGGTACTCATAGCATATGGTCAGTAAGTGATTATTTTGAGACAACTGCTTGATAGGGTTTAAAAATAAACTCTTGAAACATATCTTTGAATTAGTGAAACTTAATTTGACAACACTATTTTATTAATTTATATACAAGTATATATGTATCTATAATAAATAATTTTTCCTTTTTCTTTGCAGTGCCACAAATCCTTCAAGTTTTAAACTCGAGTTGTTTGTCAACAATTTAAGCAAGCCAAATGCTGCCACATTTGAAAGGCTTGGAGTGTAAGACCAATTTGTTTGTACTGTGATTTTGATTTAAAAAAAATCAATACTCTTTTTCTTTTAAACTTTTAGCTATATGTTAACATATTTTATAGAATGGAACATATAGTTAGCTATTATATTGGTGACTTTATATTTTGTATGTCATAAAACCAAATAGATAAATTTAATGACAGTTTTATCATTATCATATAGAAAAGATATTTCCAGTAAACAGTTTTGTAATCAGTAATATCTTCGATAGCAAACCTCATCACTTGAGTTTCATATAAGAAGGTTTTTTTGACAGCTGAAAAATGTTTAAAAAAGCAAACAAACAAAAAATGCAATATTTTTTGATGTGATATCTTGATTAATAATGGCAAGAAAAGTTATTATGAAGCAAAATGTACTCTACCGACAATTTTTGTTTAAGATGGTAAAACTTTGAATAACAATGTAAACAAACATTTTATACAGTAATATCTGCTGTATTATAATTAGTTGATTAGGATTATTTATAGATTTTGAAAATGTTTTATTTTGTTGTTGTTTTCAGACTAGATTATAAACAGAATGTGGATATCAAGTTACGAGCAGAAGGAGCGGAGGTGAGTGTGAAGTGATCATAATAATGATCTTTTCTATAGAATATATCACACAGTGTTTTTCCCACTTATGTAAATGTATTTATATGGGGTCGGAAATTGACCCCTTCCCAATGCAAAATTGGCATGTTGATTCCCAAAATTGACTTTAAATTCCGATTTGTTGGAAAATTTAAGGAAATTGATTTTATCCTCAAAATTCCAAAGTGGCTGGTCAAAAGTAATGAAAATTTGACCAAAGCAAACTACCATGTGCATAGAGCTGGATAATGTAACTGTAAGTATGTGCAAAGTCACAAATTAGATGTGACTTTTTGAAATCTTGATTGTTCAAATTTTTCCCAAAATTGTGCAATTATAGAATTACCCAAATAAGAAAGCTTGTCAGTGGTAGCAGTCTGGCATTGTCATGCTACAGTTAAATCCAAAAAATAATAAAGGGAAGTGTCTGTATGTTGGGATAAGCTAATGAAATATTCTGGTACTGTATCTTGCCTTTTAAATTGAAGAGTCAAAGCTAATTTTGGAGTCAAAATGATAATCTCAAGGGTCAGTTGAAAGCCCTGACCGATAAGGGATCCACAACCCTTAGTGATCCACACCAATCTTCTCCAGTCACACGTGTAATGGTATTGGGTCACCTACCCAACCATATGGGTTTTCTGAGTCCTGGTACGTTGTTTCCTCTCACATTAGGACCCCTTTTCTGCTTCCATCCAATTCAACAAAAGTGATTGATAAGAGTTGAGGAAATTGTTTTAAACTTGTTGTAAAATGATTAAGTTAGTTTGATCCACCTAGGTGATCCATACTCCTAACTTTCTAAGTGATTCAACCTAGTGATCCACCCTTATCAACAGTATAATTAATGTGCTTGATCTTTCTTCATCTTGTCTATATTTGTTACCTATATTTTCATCGTTGTACATATCTTTGACCACAGATTCCGACAGATGGGCTGATACTGAAGGGATGGTACACCACCATTACTATTGCAATCTATGGGACACTGACCGTGGTCAAGCCTGACCACTCCTCCCCACCACCACCTCCTCCTCCACAAGTCAGACAAAAGAGTTGTAAGCCTATCATGATATACAAGTTAACCTGTACATATTTTCCACTACGAAGACAAAAATACAATTTAGGTTTTAAATTTATGAGGTTTAATTGTACCTTGTGAAGTTCTGGTATGATACAGAACTCTTGGTGACAGAGTGTCTGGTTTTGGAAAGTTGTAAATAAGTTGTATTTATGATATTTCTTAAATCAAAATAAAACATGTTTACCATGTGTTTGTGACACAACAAGTGAAAAGTTTAACTATCACCATGTTTCGTGGGGAAATGATCAGTGTCCTGGTACATTCTGTACAATTTTGTTTCGTGAGATCTTTTTTCAGGCAAGTCATGAATGTAATTTTTCAAAATGTTCATGTCCAATTACTAAAAGATATAAATATGTGTGCTTCCCACAGGAAAACCATCCTTGAGTCCGAGACTCAAATATCTTTCCTAAAAATTACTAGGTAGTAAAAATAGAATAGAATAGAATAATTATTTTTCAATCTATGCATCTGCTTTGTATATTTATTTTAGGATGTGAAGAAAATATTTGATGTAACTTAATGTTCCTGAAGCTTGTAATATTATTGGTATGATCTCTGGAGCATACAATGCCATATTTCAGCTATTTCAACAAAAAGTGCTAGTACTGATATTTAGAATGTAAAATTTAATTAGCAATTTTAAATTAATGGTGGTGCTACTTCGTTGATGTGAACTCTGAAGCATGCCATATTATTTCTCAGCTATTGAAACAAGAACTGCTGGTGGAACTGACATGGCACGTCCTGACTGGGAACCAACACCAGCCAGACCTGTCTCCACATCAACAGATATCCCTCGGTCTGAGTGGGAGCCCCCGCCTCCTCGAGCTGCTCAGTCCAAGCCCCCACAGCAACATCCATTGGACTACATCCAGCAACAGGTCCAGCTGCAACAGAAACAGCAGCAGGCAGCACATTCCCAATCTCAGACTCTTCCGAACTTGTCTCATCCCCCTCCCAACCTCGCACTTCCGCCTCCTCAACCAGTCCCACCACCACAGACTAATATTCCCCCACCACAAATACCTGGACAACCCCCATCCGATATTTACAGAGGTGTGGAAGCTCCGTTTGACAGGGCACTCCACCCTGCATCCCAACATAGAGACATAATGCAGGAGTTCGTACAGAGTCCCAAAATGGGGCTCATTGACAGTCGTGATGGGGGGCACTTCGACGGACGTGAATCTCAGAGGGATTTTTCATCAGAAAAACGTGAGAACTATGAGAGCAGAGATGTGTATGATGAAAACAGATCACAGGGTTCTTACGAAAAAGACTATAGAACACACAAAGAATCAAATAGTCATGAGAGGGATTATGACCAATCTAGAGAAAGTTCTAGGGACAGAGAGTATAGAGACAGGGGAAGAGACCTAGGGGAAAAGGAACGAAGGGAAAAGGTATGGGAAAAGTTCCGTGAACGTGAACGAGAACGTGATACAGGTTTCAGAGAAAAAGCAAAAGACTATGGAGACCGGAGTCCTAGAGACTGGCCAAGAAGTCCTTCAAAACGAAAGTGGTCAAGGTCCAGATCACGTTCTCGATCACGATCAAGGTCAGACTCCAGATCACGATCAAGGTCGAGGTCAAGGTCTTATTCTAGATCAAGGTCATACTCAAGATCGCCAAGACGATCATCAAGATCTCCAAGGAGATCATTTTCAAGATCTCCAAGGAGATCATACTCAAGATCACCGAGACGGTCATATTCAAGGTCACCAAGGAGGTCAAGGTCGCGTTCAAGAACTCCAAGGAGGTCTTACTCACCAAGATCCCCAGGACCATTTAGATCTAAAGTTCCAAGGTCAAGGTCACCTCCAGAAATGCATCCAAGGTCACCAATTCACCCAAGGTCACCAGTGCATCCACGGTCACCTGCGCGTCCAATGTCACCCGTAATTTCAAGGTCACCTGCACCTGTACAGACCCCATTGTCCCCTCCCCAGGAGCTACCCCAGGTGGAGGAGTCACCGATTCCCATTATCAGACAGCCCCGTGAGACACGAGAACCCCTTAGGGAGCCTTCTCTGCCCCATGAAGAGATTATGGAAGCAGGTAAGAGAATAGGAAATGAGTGAAAAGTTACCATAAGGGGTTTATCAATCCAGGTAGAATTTGGTCATAAAGCAAGGAATCTATCCTATGTCGAGTTTTTATTATGTTTTCTACAACATTACTGGGAATGATTGCAAAATCTTCTGACTCTATATAGGCTTGTAACCTATTTGTCTTCATATGGACGTAGTGGAAATAGCAGAAATTTAGCTCAAAAATATGTTTTTGAAGTCTGTACTATGGAGAAGTGGTTGGACACTCTTCCTGTAAACAATATATGTTTATAATTTGTTAAGACATGTATATAAGTATTTTGCGCAGTTTTGTAGGGGAGATTATTGAGGAGGTCTGTCAGGCCAAATATTTTACCCTGTTTTGTAGAGGAGATTATTGATGAGGACGGTCAGACCAAATGTTTTGCCCTGTTTTGTAGGGGAGATAATGGATGAGGGTGGCCAGACAAAATGTTTTGCCCTGCTTTGTAAGAGAGATTATTGATGAGGTCTGTCAGACCAAATATTTTACCCTGTTTTGTAGAGGAGATTAATGATGAGGACGGTCAGACCAAATGTTTTCCCCTGTTTTGTAGGGGAGATAATTGATGAGGGCGGTCAGACAAAATGTTTTGCCCTGCTTTGTAAGAGAGATTATTGATGAGGACGGTCAAACCAAATGTTTTGCCCTGTTTTGTAGGGGAGATAATGGATGAGGGCGGTCAGACAAAATGTTTTGCCCTGCTTTGTAAGAGAGATTATTTGTGAGGTCTGTCAGATCAAATATTTTGTGCAGTTTCGTAGAGGAGATAATGGATGAGCGCGGTTAGACCAAATATTTTGCCCTGTTTTGTCGGGGAGATTATTGATGAGGGCAGTTACAAATATTTTGCCCTGTTTTGTAGGGGAGATTATTGATGAGGTTGGTCAGACCATCTTTGACCAGCTTACTCCTGAGCATTCACCAGGACCCATGTTTTCTTCAGACGGAGAAATTCAGGTGAGACGAGTATTTCTCTTACTTTGAATTGTTTGTTTGGTTTGAAATGATTTCAATTTATATCATAAAATAATTAAACCAGTATTTGAACAGTTTTACAAACTATGGTCTAATCTTGTCTCTAGTTGCATATTACTTTATTACCTCGCCTGTGAATATGACATACAGGGATAACTTTCTTCATCATCATATATTGTCAGCATCAATTTTCATAGGCAGTTTTGTTTTCAGAAAATGTGTTTTTTAGCCCTTTCACCACCTTAGACCATTATGGACTCATCCACATAAATGCATGGTAGAGTCTACCAAAGGTACCTAGGGGTGAAAGGGTTAAGCGTAACCAGATTTCAATGACACTTACCTGGTATACCTTTTACCCAAGTCTAGTACATTTATTGGCCAAGTTCATAAATATTCCATCGGCTGATGATTTTTTCATGGTAAATTTTGAGACATTATCAGATTAACTTGAAACTTGTTGGGTATAGCTTGCTCTTCAAGACCCTTAATGGGTTCTTGATGCTTGGCTTAATTGACTCATGTTGATGGTTTCTTATCACATTTGTGTCAATGATCATCTTATGACCACTTCTGGTGAATCTGAAATAACTAGAATGTCTGCCTTTGCCTCTGATTGACCGATACATTTTCTACTTTTTTTCAATGTCTTTTGGGTGATTATGACAAAACATTACACAGTTGGCTCTCTCATTGTCCTGACAAAGTCTTGCTATTTTTTCTTACCAATGAACAATCAAGGATGGCAATCTGTTTTCTGATTGGTTGAGACATTTGTAACTTCTCCACCAGGATATTGGAAACCAAAGTTCGTCTGAATAATGGTTCCATGGCCTTGAACGAATGCTGTTATTGTTATTTTTTAATTCAGATTCCTAAATGGTCACCCTGTCCTCTGATTGGTTGTTGGTTGAGACATTTTTTTTTATTAATTCTCAATTCTACCTGATGAAGTTTAAACAAACATTGTACACATATTTCCATCCTTGCGTTTATGAAGTGTTGTCTTATTTTGTTTTATTCACCCATGACAAATGTTGATGGCACATGTTATGGTATGGGGAGCAAGATGCACACACAATTATTTGCATGCTCTGCTCTGATTGGTCAATTTCCAAACTTGAGTTTCAACAAGATAACTTGCTTAGTCAAGTACAGTATTTTTTCTCCTTTTACCTCATTCCAGAAATAATTCACATCTTTAATGAGTAATAAAGTACAAATGTACTTTCTTCTCACATTTCCATATTTTCATACATTTAAACAATAATGCATCAGAGGCTTTTTTAGTATGTCAGATTAGCATGGGACATGCGTATATTATTCCGTCCTGTGACACTCTTGTTATCATTAAGTAATTAAAGTTGGTGACCTTCACCTAACAAACAAAAACAAAAAAGTGATACAGGCCATATAGACCTATTGTTTCTATTGAGGTAAAAGCCGATTATTTATGTGAACCCATTGAAAGTTAGACGAGATTCTATTGTTTTTCTCATGAATTATATTTTCTGTTTTGTAGGAGGTGGACGATACATACGAAAATATCTCTTCTGATGATGAACTGGAACTAGATGGCGATGACATGATGACAGTAAGCAAATATCTAAATCCTGGTTCAATGTCATATTTTGTCATGATGACGTTTGTTTTTCAAGACAATTTTTATGCCCCGCCATAATATGGGGGGCATATAGTGTTGCCCATGTCCGTCCCGTCCCGTCCTGATTCAATGTAAACACTTAGCAACTTCATTCTTTGACAGATTTTGGTCAAACTTTATACAAAGGTCAAGTATGAGTATACTCCTGACATCGTTGTCTTTCAGGGATCCAAGGCCAAGGTCAAACTTGCTATATATAGAAAATCATCAACTGATTCAATTTAAACACTTAGCAATTTCATTCTTTCATGGATTTTGGTCAAACTTTATGCAAAGGTCAAGTATGAGTATACTTGGGACATTGTTGTGTTTCAGGGTTCCAAGGTCAAGTCCATGGTCACTGTTGCTATATATAGAAAATCATCAACTGATTCAATTTAAACACTTAGCAACTTCATTCAATATGTTATGGAGATGGTAATAACATACAGAAAAAACATATGAATATTAAAATCAACTTAACTTTAAGTGTAGTACTTTGTGTGTGTGCATGTTTCAAGGTATCAAGATCAAAGTGGTTGTAACTTTTTATAGAACACTGAAACTAATTTCACATGGCAACGGGGGCATTTATGTTCTAGTTCATTATGATATAGTTTCAGTAATATGCTTTGTTGTATGTTATTTTTCTAGGTCACATTTTGTCATATGGCCTTGCTTTGATGTTAAACTTTGTTCTTATTATAAATTTTTTGGGAAAGTCATACTGAATATTTATTACATTGTTTCACATTTCTACAACACTACAATTTTTCTGGTGATCTTGTCTTTCAAGGTCATCAATTTTCATATCCTTAACAGATAAATTCAGACACACAAATTAGTTCATACTTTGGCACCACTCTATGACGTAATTTCATAATGGAAAAAACAATTGAGATCACACTGGGATTCACATGTTGTTATCTCATTACATCCAGAACATCGACATGTACGATATAGTTGACGACTACGCTACCATCTCGTTCAACCCATTCCAGTTTGAAGTGGCCAAACTTGTGGTAAGTGTGCTGTAATATGGATCTTGTTCTGCAATTAGCCAAAGGGGCAAACAGAGTCTCACGACACAATGAAGCTTAAGGGTTCTTGTTTTATTACAGGACAGTGAAATACAATTTGTTGGCATTTCTGCAGTACTGCAGTAGATAAGGGTGTAGATAAGGGTGTAGATAAGGGTGTGTAGATAAGGGTGGGCTTATTAACAGACAACGGCTTGGTGAGTAGATAAGGGTGGGCTTATTAACAGACATGGGCTTATTGGTGGATAAATCTAGTATTTAAGTATTGCAGATTAAATTTCGATTTTTCATCTATTTGGGATGAAACTGTTTCAGAAATACTGTTGACATCTGTGTGTTGACATCGTATTTCCATTTGACTAATCATACCAGTTTAAAGTTTTCTTAAATCTGATGTCGTCTTGTTTTCAAAAGTTATAAATTTCGAATTGTTTTAATATGATATAGATCATGTAAGCAAAATCAGTCTTTTAAGTTATTGAGAGAAATATTATAAACCTGAAGTTTAAAATATTTTATTCAAATTTTAAAGCAATATTATTAAAACCAACATTAAATGTACTTAAAGATTTCAAGGCAGACAGAAAGACTTATGTTGTCTGGCGTTTAAAATTCCTTCCTATCAATACAAAGAAACTCAGAAGCCACCAATATTGTAGGAAACACTTTTATTGCCGATTATTTGGGCAGAATGTTAGAAAAACACCAAATAAAATTAAATTGCAGATAACATTGGTAGAATTTGGTTTTACTAAATATGTGTTTTGGTTTTTACTCTTAGACAATGGCAGATGTGACACTGACCAAGTATGAGGAGGAGTTATCTGCCCTTCAGCAGCAGACGAACAAAGCTACAGAGAGACCCTCTGAGGCTACAGCTTTACTGGAACTTGTTGATGAATTCTCTTCCTCTGGCCATCATGGCAGGTTCGTTAATAACAAACAGTTGGCTGCTTTAATTTTCATCAATTGCGATACACTGAAAATGACACAGATTTGCTTTTTCAATGTCTGTCTAAATACCTTCTATAAGCAGTTTTCATTATTTGGCTGAAAATATGTAGCTTCTGTGAAAAATTTTGACAAAAAGAGAAATCTTTCGACATTCAAAGGTAAACAGTGTCTATTGATAATCAATACATATGTAAACATTTACTAATCACTCCTGGTTTTGATATATATAGAATTAACATGCTATCCCTGTAGTCCCAGGCTATGATAAATGTTGTCAGGATATGTAACCTCAAAGCCTGGACAATAGGTGTTGATAAATGTTGACTTTTTAATGATAACTGCATGAAAAACAACGAACTTGACCTCCAGGAAAGTAACTCTGTGATGATTGAAATTTCCAGGTGGATTGAAGCACTAGAAAGTGTGCCAAGTCTTCTTGTGAAGGGCTTGTCTTACCTTTTACAGCGAGAGAACAGATCAGGTAGGTAGTATTCTACAGGGGGAGCAATGAACAAGAGGTACGTGTGTTATTAGGACCATGCATCAGAGATGCTGGTGCTCCATAGTGATCAAGGTGTTTCTCCATCTACTTTTGTGTCTGGAACTTTTCTCATGATCCAAAAGCCAATATTTTTGGAATTTTACGTAGTGATACACTGCTATTATGATTGAGATTTTCAATTCATGTAGTGGTTTAAAAAAATCTTAAGGTCAAGGCCAAGTTAACCAACTAGAAAAGAAAAATTGAGATTTCAAAAATACATTGAAACACCCTTGACCAATCAGTGTTTGGTAATAATGGCAGACTAATTAGAGAATTAATGAAATAGGACATCTTATGAGAAGTTGTTTGTGTCCAGATGTCCTTGAGCAATTACTAGAGTGGTCACTGGAGGGACTTGACCTGGACAAGGCCATGGCACAACCTGAGACTGCCCACAAGGTTCGCCACCTCAAGATGGGCATCAAGCTGGCTGGGAGTATGTGTACCTGTAGTCGTGATATTGTCCTCAAGTGTCTGGTAAGTGGATTATCTCCCTTCTTTTGCTGTACCTTTGACATGTGACTTTTTGAATTGTCAGGATATTGTACAATGTCATGTAGGGAGATTTAGGGATCCCAGTACTACTTCCAAAAAAACAACTATGAATAGGAAACTTGTTTTCCCCATCATGGCTTTGATAAATTACTTCAGAAATGAAAACCAAACATGTTGGGTTTTTTTAAACATAAAAAAATGAATAAATAAGAGTGTTAGGATCATGAGTTTAAAAGGCAACAGTCTTAGACCAGGATTCAAACTTTTGACCTGAAATCATTGTACTGACACTCTAACCAACTGAGCTACCTGTTAAACAGTAGTACCCGGGCTCAGTCACGCTACAGTTATATCAAAAACTAAATTAAGGATTGGTTGCTGTGTGTACAAAATCTCTAGTGAATTGCCTGCTGAAAGGGATCCTTCAACAGACAAAGAGTAAAATGGACTGACTTTCAATAAGCTTATATCTATGTGAGCAGGCCCAGGAATCAAAAAACTTCTCAACTCTATATCTTTTCGATCAGGCCCAGGAATAAAAAAACCATCTCAACTCTAAGAAAGTTCTCCTTCTTAGATTATTTAAGTGAATGATGTGTTTTACCCTGTCTATCTGAATTTTTGTTTTTCGTACTAGATAAATTAGAAGCAATACAAAACTAGTATGATATGATGAAATAGTAATCCATTTGATAATAACTGTTTTCCTTGAACAACAATGTTTGCTTTTGCCTTCCACTTCTCTGACTTCTGTTTGCTCCTCCCAGAATGATTGAACCTTTTATAGACCTCATGTCAATAGTTGTATATGGTTTGTCACAGGCCATGGACATCCAGCATAAGCTACTAGATCTGTTTGTGGCACCCTACATGTCCTTCTCCCTCAAGCTCCAAATTGTACGTGCCATTGACCAGTCAACACGCTTCACCGACGGCATGCAGTGGTTCCTGGGCAAGCACATTCTACAGAACACAAAGGTCAAGGTTGACAGTGACGACAGTCAAAATGTCAAGACAGAATTGAACGATAATAAAGAGAGCTGTTATGAAAGGCTTATTGAATGTATGATGAAGAAACAGGTATGTTCATCCCTTTATCTCTGAAATGGTTAATTTTTTTAGATTGAAATTTTGATAGATTTCCTTCAAACGCAATCATATCTAGCAGTACATTCGTGTATCCGGTTGAAACGGTTGAACCGGTTGAACCTGTAAAGAAAATGACAGGTACAGATTTGGACCGAGGCTGACCTCAGGAAAATTTGGTACGTGTAGATTGAGGGGTCCAGACGTACCTGGCCGAAACTAAACTGCTGAATATTGCTAGTTTGCGTTATTTCTTTCTAAAACAATGTCAAGCCACATGTAGTTTTTAAGATACGTTATGTAATTTAGTGGACGCGTGAAAGAAGGGCATAATATTCTTGATACATTGTTTTTTATTCTCCGAAACTGTGTATTTTTAGCTCTGCTTATAGAACGGTTTAAGTGTGTTCGTTTATCGTGGAAAATTTCTGCGCCACACGTACCGTTTCAACCGGTAACGCGAATGTAGCCTAAGTGACATACTACATTTGTATTGTTGTTGATGAGTTTTTCTTTAGTTTCCATCATAGTCACACTGGAGAACCATGTTGGTTGTTTTTTAAACTTAACATGTTATCTTAAACTTGCTATTAAGTAATGGAACATAAGTTTGCTCTCAGCTATCAAAGTGACTGAAAATAAATGAATAGTGTTTACAAAAGAGAAAGCTCTTCCATAAATTTAGAAATAAAAGAAAACTATTAAAGATATAGTGGTAGAATAGCTGTCAGTGATTAGTTTTTCATGAAGGAAAATAGGTTCAAAATATGTTTATCATATGTAGAAAACTTGGAGCAATAGTTTGCTGTCTGTATTTTATTTCGTTCCAGAAAATATTTAGTTTTCACAATTGTGTGTTACAGGTTGCCAGGGTAACAATAGCAATGGCTGCCTTTTTGAAGAAAATTCACATTTATGAGTTGCTGTCTAGTCTAACTGGAAATGTTAAAAGGTAAGTTTGTGATTTACATCATACACATTGTGACAATGCCTTGCTGTACTAAACAAGTTCAACTACCCGTGGTGTTTTTTTTTACTTTATACCAAGAATGTTTTGCCACAGTTAAACCTTTGCTCTTTTAACCATTTACAATTAAAGGTGAATTTGTCATGAAGGCAAATATTTGTATACAGCTCACAGAATATACTACATGTATTTCTGATGTGACGTGCAAAAGTTGTCTTGTATACAGTATGTTCTTTGCTATTCAATAATTAGTGGGAAACAAGCACCATTATATAGTGTTATCATCACTCTCTGTCAGAAACAAGCACCATTATATAGTGTTATCATCGGGAAATGAAGGCTATCTCACTCTCTGTCAGAAACAAGCACCATTATATAGTGTTATCATCACTCTCTGTCAGAAACAAGCACCATTATATAGAGTTATCGTCACTCTCTGTCAGAAACAAACACCATTATATAGTGTTATCATCACTCTCTGTCAGAAACAAACACCATTATATAGTGTTATCATCACTCTCTGTCAGAAACAAGCACCATTATATAGTGTTATCATCGGGAAATGAAGGCTATCTCACTCTCTGTCAGAAACAAACACCATTATATAGTGTTATCATCGGGAAATGAAGGCTATCTCACTCTCTGTCAGAAACAAACACTATTATATAGTGATATCATCGGGAAATGAAGGCTATCTCACTCTCTGTCAGAAACAAACACTATTATATAGTGATATCATCGGGAAATGAAGGCTATCTAACTCTCTGTCAGAAACAAACACCATTATATAGTGTTATCATCGGGAAATGAGGGATATCTCACTCTCTGTCAGAAACAAACAACATTATATAGTGTTATCGTTGGGAAATGAAGGATATCTCACTCTCTGTCAGAAACAAGCACCATTATATAGTGTTATCATCACTCTCTGTCAGAAACAAACACCATTATATAGTGTTATCATTGGGAAG